CAGATAAGTGAGCTAACCCACTCTATGGAACTCCAGCAGGCTCAGACTTGGATATCACAGCTACCGTGGAAGACAGGGTGAGAGGCTCAGGACTGGAATCAGAGGCCTGGCTGGAAGCTTGGATGCAGAGTGGGTCCTTGCTTCACCTTCTTAACCCATGCAGTCATATGACGGCCCCTTCCTACTGTGGTTTGAAAGTCCCCTCCGAATTCATACTGAAATGTAATTGCAACAGTGACAGTATTAAGAGGTGGGACCTTTAAGGGGTGATTAGATCACAAGGGCAGAAGGGATTAATACGATTATGGGGGATTGGGTTAGTTAATGCAGGAGTGGACTCTTGATAAATTTGGAAGCCACCCTTCCTCTCTTGCTTTCATGTGCTCTTTCATCATGCAATGCCTTCCACCATGTTATGATGGTCATGCAGGCCCTCACCAGATGCAGCCCCTAATCTTGGACTTCCCAGCCTTCAGAACCACTGGCCCCAAATCTTCTTTGTTTATAATTTACCCAGTCTTGGGTACTCTGGTACAGCAGTAGAAAATGAGTTAAGACATGTTATGGTTTGGATGTGAGGTGTCCCCCAAAAGCTCACATGTGAGACAATGCAAGAAGGTTTGGAGGAGAAGTGTTTGGGTTATAAGAGTCTTAACGTGATCAGTGAATTAATCCCCTGATAAGAATTAACAGAATGGTAATCAAAGTGGTAGGGTGTGGCTGGAGGAGGTGGGAATTGGGGTGTGGCTTTTGTGGTGCATATTTGTATCTGGCAGTAGAGACTCTCGCTCTCTGCTCCCTGATCATCATGTGAGCTGCTTCCTTCTACCACTCACTTCTACCATGATGTTCTGCCTCACCTCATCCCTGAGGAATGGAGCCGACCTTCTGTGGACTCAGACCTCTGAAACCGTGAGCCCTCAAATAAACTTTTCCTCCTCCACAGTTGTTCTGATTTGGTCCTATAGTCACAGCAGTGAAAAGTGACTAAGACAAGACACTTCTTGTTTTAGTCAGCTTTTGCATCGATGTGACCAAAATGCCCAACAAGAACAACTTAGAAGAGAAAATGTTTATTTGTGGCTCACAGTTGCAGAGGTCTCGGTCCACAGATGGCCAACTCCATTGCTCTCAGCCCAAGAGGAGGCAGGACATCATGGGGGAAGAGCCCAGTGGAGGAAAGCTGCTCAGTTCAGAGTGGGATTAGAAAACAGAAAGAGATGAGAAAAGGGGACACAGGGAAGATGCCCCCCTGCAGAGCACACCCCCAGTGACCCACCTCCTCCACTCATGCCCCACCTGCCTGCAGGTATCAGCCGGTCCATTCAAACTAGGAGGAACTGATGAGTTACAGCTCTCAGGATTCAATCATTTCACTTCAAACATTCCTGCGTTCATACAGGAGCCTTCCAGTGACACCTCATATCCAAGCCATAACACTTCCTAACTAGAAATTTATCTTCTGAAAAACTGAGCCAAAGAAGCTCTGAACTTTTTTTAAAAAGTTTCCAAGAAAAAAATACAAAAGGATCAGAAATTAAGATAGCATCAGTCTTCTGTATCCCAGATGCTAGAACATATTTGGAAGAATGTGTTCTGAGGGAAAATAATCATCAACCCAGAATCTATATCCAGCCAAACTATCAAACAGATGTAGCAAAGTAAAAAAGACTTTCCCAGATTGGCAAAAACATTTCTCCCTTGTACCTGTTCGTAGGAAGTTACTGGAAGATGTGCTTCAGCAAAATAAAAGGAGGATAAGAAAGAGAAAGATGTGGACTCAGGAAACAGGGGTTCTATTGCAGGGAAGATACAAAAGAAAATTTCCAGAATGATGAAAAAGAAGGTCCTGGGGCCCAGTTGGGTGGCAAATCTACTGAATGACTAATTGAGTCCAGGAGCTCAGGACCAGCCTGGGCAATACAGCAAGACCCCATGTAAAAAAACAAAGCAAACAAAAATAGAAACATCTATGTCTTTCACAGTTAAAATTCCTTTAAGGGTCAAATTACATATGCTATTTTCAATTCTTGTTGATCACTATTTTTAAGAATTAAAAGTTACTTTCATTAAATAAATGTAGGCATATATTTTAATGGTTAGACTAACTAATCTCAACTAGCCTAGATTAGAGGAGAATGATGGCAGAGAGAGGGGTGGGGGGGCGGATCAGAGGATCTCCAGGAGAACTATTAGAATGGACAGAATGTACTATTTGGAAAAAATCTCAGCAAGTGTATGACAAAGTATTTGGGGAAAAAAATAGTGACAGGCACATAGAAAATGAGGTATGTGGAAACAAAGTCAAATATTAAATGGTAAAAATAAACAAAAAAATAATAATCATGTAATACACACTGGCTCAGTGATAAATGTTACATAATCATATCATATTATGTGATCATAATACGTCCTGTCATTATAATCATAATGTAAGCAGTAATGATATAATGTAATGATATAATGTAACCAAAAATTTGGAATACAATTCTACTGAAAGGCTGAATGGAGGAGGAATGAAAAATAGTTATAGTACCAGATCCTCCACTACCTACAGCAGAATCAGTAATAATGCCTAAAATTGGTGACTTAAAAATAGCATCAGTATTTAAAATTATGGGGAATCACGTAAGAAGAAACTGTTAAGAAGATTAAAATTGATCACTAATGGCAGATAAGGGTGTCCGTGGAGAGTGGCAGGCCAGGAACCATTGTGATTTCTTTATATGTCTGAGTAACCACTTAAATATATGCATGTATTTGTTTAATAAAAATAACTTTTAGTCTTAAAAATAGTGATCAACAAGAATTGGAAATAGCATATATAATTTAACTCTGAAAGACGTAGATGTTCCTGTTTTTGTTTGCTTTGTTGTTTTAGATGGGGTCTTGCTATATTGCCCAGGCTGGCCCCGAGCTCCTGGACTCAAGCAATCCTGCCACCTCAGCCTCTGGAGTAGGTAGGACAATAGACATGCACCAGTGTGCCCAGCTAGGGATGTGGTTTTGACAAGGGAGCCAAGGTTCATATCCTAGACTGCACCTGTCACTAGCTGGGTGATCATGGGCAGGTTGCTTCCGCCCTCTGAGTCAGATTTCTCATCTTTGATTGGGGGTGATAACTTCATAGCTTGTTATGAAGATTCAATGTGTTAAATTATGAAAAACTAAGGGGTTAGAGTAAACATTAGCAGTTTTTGTGAAGAGAATCAGAGAAATGCACAGTTGCCAAACAGAGATGTGAGTCAGGAAAAGCTCTTGTTCTTGTTTGGTATTTTAAACACTGCACTAGAGCCGAGTAAACGCTGGTGGGGGGTGGACAAGGACGACCAGAGACAGAAAGGTGACTTAGGAGGAAAAGCCAGAAAATTGGAGCAGAGTAGCTCCTGTTCAGGGAGAGGGGAGGAGCATCCTGAGTTCTCCAGGGTGGACTGAGCTGTTGAGACGGAGGGGGCAGGAATGAAGGTGGAGACAGAGGACAACATAGGCATTGTGATCCTCCCTTGCCTTCCAGAGTCTCAGGGAGATGGGGGCCCTCCGTGCTCCTCAGTTTATGTTTAAAATCCACATGGCTGTCAAGCTTCCTCAGGGCCATGTGTTCTTACCAAAGAGGTGGGAGAGCACCAGGATCCAACCACCATTTTGTCACAAGGCTTGGAGCAGCCAATCAGAGAGCACTGCATTCTCCACTAGAGGGAAGAGTTTTAAAATACCTACGATCTATTTTCATGAATTCTCATGAAGCAAATTTCTTGCCTATATAAAAGACCAAAATTGCACTGTATGGGTATATATTCATTTCTGGAAAATGGGTCTGACTCCACAAAGTTGATTTCAGGCCCCTGAGAAATGGCGACAGTTATCACATCATCTCCATTTGCCCTACAGAAAACCAAGGCAAATGTTATTCCAACTACAGAATCCTAAGGGCAGAGCCAAGTGAATCATGGGAGAATCTGGATTCTTGCAGGGGAAGATTTGTATAGCCAAAGCTCAATTCCAGAAAGAGGCATGTGTTTTTCTAGGAGGCAGCATGAAGAGAGTGCTAGACTCTACCTCTTACCTACAGAGAAAATGAAATGGGCCTTGCTTAACCCTCTACTGTTTTTATACCTGTCTACAAAAGGTACCACACCATCCCATCCCATCCTCAGTCAGACAGTTGGCTCCTTTGACTTCCTTATCCCTTTCATCCATCAGTCACTCAACCCTATGTTCATTCATTTGTTCTACCAATATTTCTTTTCATGCTTATGATGAATCAGACACTGGAGTGGACACTGGTGGTACACTGTCTTAAACAGGTAAACCATCCTCCACCATGATGATGTGGACTGAAGTGCCCATCTCATCATCCTGCTGGTGCCACTCCTTCATCCCCACTGCACAGCCCTGCTTCAGGCACCGCTCTCCCCCAGGGACTGTTTTGACAACCTCTTGGTGGCCTCCTTCCTCTCAGTAGGACCACCCCCTTCATGCTAGAGTCTACATCTGAACTATATCGCCACTCTAATATGAACCTTTTGATTGCTCCTGGGATAAACTCCTGTACACCGCCCTTTCAAACTGAATTCTCTCTGCCTGTGTTGATTTCTTCTCTCATTCCTCCCACTTGCCCTTGACTTCATCTCTACACATGAAGTCCTTTTAGTTCCTCAAATGTTCCTCTATGCCTTCACAAGACAAAAGTGACACTCTCCCCCCTACATCTTTACCTGGCTCATTCCTCTTCATCCTTCAGGTCCAGAAGGGAAGCCTTTCCTGACCTCCACTTCTACCTCCCACTTCACCATCTCATGATGTTTTATATTGTGCCCACAGCAACCTGCATTTCTTAAAACATGCACCTGTTTATGCTTGACTGTTTTTGCACATGACATTTCCTGTTTCATGTCTAGATTGTGAGTTCCTCAAGGGAAGGGACCACAACCATGCGGCTAACTACTGCAACTCATTGACCAGAACATGATCAGGCTCCAGAGGAGAACAAACACGTTTACCTTTGTCTAGATCCACAAAATCTCTCTTGGTGTGGGAAACAAACTGATTTGCTATTGCCTTCTTAATTTCTTCCATAGAAGCAGGAATTTTCCAAGGAACGCAGCCCCTTCTTGTCTCACTTAGTTGCTCTGGAGGTAGTGTCCATTCAATGTAGCCCTATCAATGCAAATACAATTTTCAACAAAACTGATACAGATTCACCTAATGGAATCAAGAATAGGAGCACTGGTGTGGACATAGTCTCTGAAATCCTTTATATCCAGTTAGAACTCTCTGGTTGCCTGAGTGCAAGGAGCCTGTTAATGGGATCCATTAGTTTACCTAGCTGTAGCACAGATACTTGTGCATTTCTTTGACTTTTCACACTGATGAAAAAAAATGTGATTGCAAGCATCAAAAAAAATGTGCTTCTAAAAAGAATTCTCCCACAGATAAGACCAAAAAAAAGGAGAAAACCCATACTATTCTAGTTATGGCTACCTGTTCCCAAAAGAGCAGAGACAAGTGGCTGCTTTCCCCTTGGTAGTCCCAGAGAGAAACATCCCATAGAGAAACCCTGACTCACAGGCAGAGACCTGTAGGGGTCAGGGGAGAAAAGGCACTGTCTCCTCTTTACCTCCAAAGCAATTCTATGATTATAAAACTTGAAACCTGCACTCCCTGCTGCCATCTTCCTCTTTCATGACCTCACTCCCTAGCTCCCTAGGAAAATGGAAGCCGTCAGGAGAGAAGCTCTGCACACCAACTCCCATCCGCCACACCTGCCCTGGCATCTCTGATGAGAGTATCTGCAGTGCTGCCAGCAGGACCCAACCCACTTGGGTAGCTAGATCCAGTTCCCTGTAGTGTGCTCCAGCCCAGCACTCCAGTGACCCTCACTTCTAGAAACTTCAGTGTCTTCCTCTCTGCTAGGTAGCTGTCTTTATTTCTTCTACCTTGTAAAGAAACCCTTCTCTTTGGCCAAGTTCCTGGGAATAGTTATATATACATACTGTTCCAAATTATCTTTTAAGTCCCTTTTAATCTTCAGGTTCCCTCTTAATCCCCTTCTTTCTCTTATCATTTATCTACTGAAGAAACCAATTGTAAATATGCCAGCATCTATTGAAGCAGCTATTGATGCATAGAGGTTCCAAGTCTGGATTTTGTTGATTACATACCCACAGTGCCATTTAAAAAGCCTTTAGGATTCAGATTCAGGGTGCATCTCGTGGACCATTCTCTAAGTGGTGTTCAGCAAGATCATGGGAAATGATATTGAAATTATATTGCTATTTCTCTTTGGTAACAGTTGTTGAGGCTCAGTGACCAGATCAGTAGGGTCAACAAATCTGGTTTGCCAAAACTCATTGGCTCAAAGTACAAAGGACCATCTATAACACTAGTTCTCATTGGCTGAGAGCACAAAGGACAGTCGGCCACCAGCTCTCATTGGCTGAGAGAACACAGGGAGGCAGCCATGCTACCTCTCAGGGTGAGAGCCTTGGATAGCACTTAGATAAATGAAAATCATATGCCTATTTGTATGTATATGCATACAAATACAGCATAATGTTGTAATTAACTCTCTCATATTTATTTTAGGATTTTAATGAAAATACTTAAGACACATATAGATGGTAATGAATGGATGCCATGAGGAACCAAGTTAGATGGGGTATGTGTGTGTGTTCTAAGGATTCCCAAGTTTACCTCTCCAGCTTCTCACTCACAGGAGCTACAGACCTCTATGTGCAGCTGCCTGTCTACCGAACAGATCTTCACCAGAACTCCCATTCCCTCTTATTCCTTTCCCCATCAAACCTGGTCTTCCACCTTGTTCCAGCTCAGAAAACAGCGTCAGCACACACCCAGCCTCCGAGAGAGAAATATGAACATCCTCCTCCCTCTTTCTTCTTCATCTTTCACATCCCTTTAGTCATCAAATACTGTCCATTCTACCACTTTGTCATCGCTTCAATGCATGCAAGAGCCTCATCCTAGGTATCAGGTAAATGAAACCTTTTATTATGACTGAGAATTGTCTTATATGATGGAAGAAGGGTGTACAGTGCCAAGAAAACAGCAGAAAAAATGGTTATTTTTCTTCCGGTAGAGGATGGGAGATGGCTCTTTTTAAAATGAGCCTTGAAGAAATATAGGGCAGTGCTCCTTAGTAGAGAGGAAAAGGCTTTTCTAGAGGAAGGCAAGAGTGATAAAAGTCAGGGGGGTTTGAGAGAGCACAAAACACCTTGTGCATACCTATTTATAGCAGCACTATTCACCATAGCTACAAGGTGGAATCAACCCAAACATCCAACAGGGTGGTACGGACAAATACATTGTGGCCTATTCATACAATAGTATTCAATCACAGAAAGTACTGGTACTTGCCACACCATAGGTGAACTTCAAAAATATTACACTAAGTGAAAGAAGTCAGGCACAAAAGGTCACCTGTTGTATGATTCCACATGTAAACTATCCAGAATAGGTAATTCATAGAGATAGAAAGCAAATAGGTGGTTTCTAAGGGGAAGGTGACAGGGATTTTTTTTGGGGGGGGGTAACTCTTTAATGGGCATGAGTTGTTTTGTTTTGTTTTGTTTTCTGGGATGATAAAAATGTTCTGCAACAAAACAGAGAAATAGAGATAGAGAAAAGATAGTTAGAAATAAAGATGAGAAGGTAGGAAGGATATTGTCCCAGAGGACCATATAGCTCATCACAGAAGAAAGTGAAGAGTGTTTGTGACGTATTCAAACTCTTATTCTCATGGATTGTTGACACAGTATTAAATTCGACACATATAGTGCTATTATCTTACTTGATTGGCTTACTTTTTTGTGTCTCCTTAATCCTCTTGAAGACCCATTTTTTATGGTATTTTCCTTAGAATATGATTTCCAAACGTACTCGTCACTGTATTGTGTATTCAGAATGGGATCACTAAGTGCATATGCATATCCTAATCTTCTGATACTTTTTTGACTACAAAAAAAGTAGAAAATAGAGTAAGGGATTAAATGCCAAATCTCACAACAGTGCACATGTCAAACCATTTGATTAATGATATATTTTTTAAAGATGGGTTAACTTAAGACTTGATGCCAGATATAATTTAATTTGAGGGTTCCCCTGATAAGAAACAATTCTGTGACAATCTTAGGATGGCTTTAGCAAATGTACAGGGATCTAAAATGAAATTAAGAATAACAACCTAAGTTTATTATATTTTTTAAAGATACTCTCATAGACAAAAATTACTTCAATCTAACCACATAGTTGGTAAGGAAAAGATTAATTCCAGAGACAAAAAGAAGCAAATTAGGATGTTCATTTTTGGCTTGCAAGTTCTCAATGAAATGATGCATCTAGGCAATGATCAGCCATGTCACCAAGAACTCAAAAGGAGGGGTTCACCGGGTATTATGTACTTCTGGTTGAATATACTCACCTCCACCTATTAAATGTTTTTGCCAAAATATGGAATCTGAATCAAATGAAGACTGCAGAATCTTGAATTACAAGAAATGGAAGAGAAGAGAAATATTTTAAAACACACGATGGGGATGGAATCAGAAAAATTCCAAACAATGATTCTGTTTCTTCAGAAAAAAAAATGGTCAGGGAGGGAAAAAAAATGTGCAGAGGTAGATTAAATGAGAAAGGAGACATAATAACCAAAAGTAATGTGTGGACTTTGGATTCTACTTCAAACCTTTTGAAAATTTTCAGACAAATTTTTGGAATAAATCTGATTGCTGACTGGTTATTCGATACTAAGGGACTGATTTTTTTTGAGGATGAAATAATGAAATTATATTTTTAAAGCATCCGATTTTGGGATTCTATTTTGATACATAGAAAATATTCAGAATTAAAATGATATGCCTTGAATTTATCTTTACAAAATCCAGTATGTTTATTGTCATAGATGGTGATTGTGTTTATTCCTTTGTGTGTGTTTAAAATAGTTCACATTGACTTTAAAAAAAAATTTAAGAGTCTGAGCAGATTTATGTGTTCGAAAGAAACAAACATCTGGGAAGTTGGGCACATCTGGATGATTGATGATTTTCCTGTCATTCAGATATAAACTGGAGATTCTCCAAAAGAGACACAGCAGAAATAGCTTTAAAGGAATTAGTTTTCAGATCTCAATTTCTCAATATTTTTTTTCCTAAATTATGTTTGCCTGATCGGTGGCAGGGGTGGGGGGTGTGCTGACTATGCAAGCAAGTCCTTTCCTTCTTTACCACGCCCCTTTCCCAGGGCTCTCTTTCCTACATTATCAGTAGGATCTTTCTAGGGTGCATTGCCTCCAGAGAGGGGCAGCTTGGCCAGAGCCATTTCAGAGACGCCTCCTGGTCATTGGAGCTCCACACCCTTGTCCAGAGCTTGTCTTATCTAGGAGTTTCTGCAGAGTGAGGGATCGTGCTGTAACCGGGGTATCGCCACCTGTGTGGGGTGTTATAGATTTTGGTAGGCGTGCTTCAAAGTCCTGCCCAGTTTTCTGTCTCCTACTAATTGCCAACTACTCATCCATCTTCAGGGAGAGGCTCTAAGAGCATGTAGAATGCTCCAAATGGCTTTTTTCCTCATGTACTTAAAGATAAGCATTTTTTCAGCTTAAAAAAAAATCCCTGGGAAATGTCATTAGCTGGAGAGAAAAGCACGTCGAGTGGGGAAGCAGTACAAGTTGGTGATGATGATCGCTTTAAATATAACTAGAGTCTTTTCTGGGACATCACACTTTTTAAAGATTACTGGGTAAAACTGGTAGATTAAAATCTTGTGCGTTTTTTTTTTCCAGATCTTGTATTCATCACTTAGTAAGGTATTTAAATCTTATTTTTTGAAATATTTACTCCAGTGTAGCCAATCCTTATTTCCTTTTATGCTATAAAAATTATTTAAAAATAAAATACTTAACAGTAAGTAAAAACATATGCTGGCTTGTCAGACCAATTAATTTTCACACTGTATAACTTTTTCCTTCATTAAATGCATAGGAAATGCCTGATGTCTGATGAAATCAATGAAACTCTTCCTTTCACGTGTGACTATAATTTAATGATTATTGAAAGTCAAGCACCAGAGTTCTGCAGACATGAGAACACATTTAACTTAAAAAAAAAAAAGCATATATTTATCAGACCCCTTGCTTCACAGGTAACTTGCACATTTTATGCATTATTTTTGTTACTTAGATATAATTAATTTATCAGACTTGAATCTTTTGTTACTTCCCCTATTTTTATAACCTTCCCTATAAAAGATATATCCAATAATTTATTTTTCAGTTATTTTCATAACATTCCTCAAAACATATATTAACATTTATATGAACTGAAAGAGTAGGTAGGTTTTGACAGGGAGTGAACCAAATTTCGCTCATTGGTTTGACAAATAGGACTGACTTAACCAACTAGTTATAGGTGATATAAACTGTATGAGCTAAATCTTCAGCTCCAAGATTTTGATAAGAATATATTTAAAGTAAGTGATGATAAAAGTATTTTATACAAAGAATATTGTGTTGGAAAACATTTATTGAAATTAATGTTTCTGTGTTCCAAACCATATAATATTAAGCAAGCTAGCTACCTTCGAGGGAGAGGGTAACGGTGTAACTTAATGGTCATTTGTTCAAGCCATGCCTTCTGGGATATTTCTCAGAAACTGAAATAGGGAACAACTCAATAAGTGGATGACAAATCATCTCATTACTTGATTTCAATAAAATCAGAGGAGTACTCCACCAAGTAGGAGGAGGATCCGTCATTAAAATCACCTTGTGATTTCTGACTCAGCAAAAACAAAGAAAGAGTTCAAAGTGCTGAGCCTGGTTCAGTAGCACACAACTGCAATCCCATTCACCCAGGAGGCTAAGGCAGTAAGATCACAAGTTCAAGGTCATCCTAAGCAAGCTAGGAAGAACCTGTTGCAAAATAACAAATAAAAAAAAATAATTTAAAAAAAGACTGGTCATGTGGTTCAATGGTAAAATGCCGCTGGGTTGAATACCTACCTATTACTACAAAAAAAAAAAAAAAAGTTCAGAGCACTGGATGACACTGCTATGCTGAAGCTCCTTTTCATATATATGAATAAACTTTCTCAAGTCTAACACCTATAAAATGGAAAAAAGAAAAGAAACAGAAAAACTGATGCTACATATGGGTCATTCTAAAAATAATAACACTCACAATTGGATGCATGAACTAACTGAAAGCAAAACTGCCCATTTATCTTTTTAGGATGCAGTTCTAAGCCAGGCATAGTGGTGCACACCTAGACTCCCTGTTACTAGGGAGCCTGAGTCAGGAGGATTGAGTCCAGGAGGTTGAGGCCAGCCTAGGCAACACAGGGAGACCTCATCTAAAAAAAAAAAAAAAAAAAAAGGAAAGAAAAATATATACATAAATAGATATATAGTGGTGGGGATGTAGTTTCCAAAATTAATTTTTGTATTTAGTATTATTATTATTATTAACATTGTAATTTATTTATTGCTCTGAGCAGTTGGGTACTAAAAATAATGATGATGATACTTAAAGTCACATAGCATGTTTAAAAATTCACTTCAACTAAAATATTGAAACAGTTGCAAAGAACTATGAGTGGACAGTAAGTTGCTTTCAAGCATAAAATATATTATAGCAGGGGAAAATTCTATTGAGGAAGTGGAGTGGAAGAAGGAAAAGGAATGAAATGAGTTTTCAAAAAAGAGCTTGTTTGAGTATTTTTTTTAAAAAAAAAAAAGAATCCTAATGAGTATTAATTTGCTAGGGCATTTAGACTGTGCATTGGTTGCATTTAAAATTTTTATTTTAAAATGTCAATATTTAGGATGGACTGGAAGTTTTATTTTCTGCAGCTATTTAAATGTATGAGAACTTAAAAAAAATGTGAGTTTGAAAATCACTGACTTAGATTCTCCAAGTACATCTTTATTTTTGGCTTTTAACCCAAATGCTTCTTCTTTAGAAAACTGTTACTGCCTGTGAACCTGGCAAATTTATTTCAATCAAATGATAAATGTCCCAATTAAGGAGTTAGTTGTGGCCCCGTGGGATAACCAGTAACTCAGAAATCGGGAGTCTGGGAGCTTGGCACTTTTGAGAGCCTATCATATTTTACCAGGGGAAATGAAAGAAAATTACTGAGTAACCCCCTTGTGTTAGTCCTTTACCTGTGTCCTCCTCCTCAAAACACTCCCTTAGGGATCATCAGTCCCGTTCCACCAATAAAACTGAGCTGTGGATGATTTGTTACTCGCCTGAGGGTGAGGGTGGGGCAGAGCTATGGAGGGTCAGCCTTGGCTTGGACGTGCCCCTAATTCATCTGACTTCTCACTAACTTGAACTTGCAAGGAGAAAAGATCCTCCTTTTGGGAAACAATTCACAGAGTCAACACAAGCAAGGAAGGCTCTCCTTCTGACTTCACACCTACCTAACAGGGATGCAATTAAAGGGATATCCTGGCACTCCCCTCCTGCTGAGCTCAGAGAGGCAGCTGGTGGCTAGAAATTCCCACAGCCCTCAGCTTGGGTGGGAGTGGAGAAGTTGCAAGCCAACACTGCTGTAGCTGGAGGAGTGCAGGTAAGGAGAAGGGGATTGTGCCCTTCCTTCAGCTTCCAGAGATGAGTGTTGGTGACAGTAGGGACAGCAAGCATTCATTCATCCACTCAGCCATTCATTCAGCCATGGAGGCCTGCTTCTATAACAGGGAGTGGCTTTGATTCATGCGTGGTGCTCAGGTGGCACAGTCGTCAATGAACCTAAATGCTGGGTCAGTGGTAAACACAATGTGCAGTAACATCATAAAGAACTAGTGGGGCCATTTTCTCGGTGGTCCTGTGGGAGGTCTGGCTGCTGTTTGAGAGGAGGAACTTTCAAGACGCTTGGAGGGGAGCCGTGAGCACAATGGCCTTACTCCACTGCATTTTTATAAGCCTTCTCCAGTTACTCTATTTGTTTAGGATTCTGAATCGGAAAAGACAAGTGAACAAAGCCCCGAGTGTCTGTCGGGCTGACTGAAGGGGGATCTACCAGATCAAAGCGGGCACTGCTCCTGTCTTGCGGGTGAAATCTGTCTTCATCCTGGTGGCATAAGAATCCCAGTCGGTACCACCTGCTGAAAGGACAATAAAGCCGTTTTCAGTGGGGTGAACCCGAATATCTCACTTGAATGTTGCACAATTAAAATAATTTCTCAAAAGACAGGAACCTTCTGGATAGTGATTTTATATGAGAGTCTAAAGGGCCATAAAGGCCAAGTGGTGGCCTGGAATAGGAGAGAAGGGAAGCACAACTTAATTATCTGAGTTTATCTCAAAATAAGAATGGCCTATTGTTTTCCCCAAGCATTCGCACCCGCTGTTTTAAAGAATTCAAGCCAAACATAAAAATCCATGAAGGAGGAAGTCCTCGGAAATTCTATCTTTGCTCATTATTGCTTTCTAGTGACCCATTTCCATTACATCAGGTATATCTGTGCACATACGGAATGATTTTATACACAGGAGTTCATATTAGACATGCCAGCTCTTACCCCGGGCACCTCTTTGCTTTTCCTCTCCACCCTTCATTATCCTTTTCTGGGCTAGGCCGTGTTAACAATCCTGTCTGCTTCTCTCCATACTTGTATATGCAATCACATGAGGATTTATGTGTACGTATATAAATACAGAGGCAAATTGTGATTTAGTTCTCACCATTTTGTTTTACAAAAATGGGCTCATGTTACACCAAGTGTCCCGACGAACAGTGTCTTGGGGGAAAAACACTCCTGGTGCAATGCTAGTTCACCCTTTGTAATAATGATCGTAAAATTCAGTGGTGTAAAAGTTATTGACAACTAGGTGCGTGGGTAAGAGCATTGAGGGACAGAGTGGAGTTGGAAGAGAAGTCCAGGGCTGAAGCCTGGGCACTCGAAGGTCAAGAAGAAGAACAGCCAGAGAAAAATACAGTCAGTTGGGCATGAAGAAAAACCAGGAGCATGTGGTGTCCTAAAAGCCCAAAGAAGAAAGTGCTTCCAAAGGAGGGAGGCATCATCCATGGCTCCAGAAAGATACCAGCTGAGAATTTAGCAGCACCCAAGCCGATCTACCCCAACTCCCTATTTTTAACAAGGTATCACCAATTACTTGAGAATACAGTTGTCCCTCCTTATCTGTAGTTTCACTTTTCATGGTTTCAGATACCTGTGATCAACACCAATAGTCCAAAAAGATGAAATGAAGAATTCCAGAAATTAACAATTCAGAAGTTTTAAATTGTGCACCATTCTGAGCACCATGATGAAATCTCATGCCATCCAGCTCCATCCTGCTGGAAATGTGATTACCCCTTTGTGTAGCGTGTCCACACCGTATGCACTACCTGCACGTTAAGTCATGTAGCTGCAGTATCACAATGCTCGTGTATGGAGTCAGCGCTACCCAGGGCTATGCACTGGGAGTGCATAAGTGGGGGCTACTATATATATTTTAAATTTACTCATTCTCTCATTTTTTTAATATCTGGGCAGTTACCTGTTGCTTTTTACATTTCATAAATAACTGGGTTGGAATGTCTCTAATTTTTGAATAGGTACTGTCTAGGATCTCATCATCTCATCCCAAGAATACTGAGCTATTCCCATTGCCTGAATTTGTTTCCAAGCCTGTATCCTATTAAAATGACAGTAAAGTATCCTTTTATCTTTCAATTTCCCAATATTCTTAAAAGCTATCTGCCTCCTGCCTAGCATAGAAAGCCCTGGCTAAACATTAACGGTTTCTGTCATCTGTGGACTTCTTAGTATTCATCTCCCCATCTCTCCCAGCCAGGTCGTTTTTAATTTAACAGGCCCTGGCCCCAGGCAGGGAATGGGATCTGCTCATCTGTGACTATTCCCTGCTGCCTTCACACTGGTTTAAGCTTCGCATCCACCCAGAAGCATCCCCGAGGGAGAACTCTTGCCTTGGCATTATCCTTGGAGACTCCTGCTTTGGTGGGAATCACTTTAGGCTTGAAAGCATTTTATTCCAATAGTGGATTTAAATGATCTTTGTGAAAAGAATTGCAAATGTGGAGAAGGGGAACAAAATCCTGAGTAGCTGCTCTTAAAGAAGCCTCCCTTAGTTTGATTGGAACCTCTGCCTTGGGCTTTTAGGAGGACCAGGAAGGATCTCTGCAGAGACCACACTTCCCTCTACCCTTCTCACTTCTGTCTTGCTGATAGTTTCCTTCCTCTCTCATTTCCTGTGCCTTCCCATGGACCAGGTCCTGTGCTCCGCACTGGGACACACATCTTGTCCTGGCTTTGGAGAACTTAACAGTTAGTGGAGGAGCTATGTATCCTATGAACATCAGATTAAGATTGTGTGTCACAGGAACCATGAGGAGCATGTGATTCTTCCTCAAAGGAGAAGAGGGGACAGCAAGGACCGGTCAAGGAGAGATTTTACCACATAGACAGCTTTCTGAACTTGTATTTTATCTGGTAGAAGTTTGATAGGGAAACTTAAAGATGTTCTTGGCTGATTTAACAGGCAGAATGAGAATCCGAGACAGCAAATTTCAAATGCAAATTTGAAATAAAGAGGAAATAACTAAGGATAATTCAGTGGGGCCCCCTGTGCCTAAGCCTACTCTGCTCAACTTAGGACCCACCAAAGGTGTTCACAGTTATGAAAATAAATTTATAAAGCTTTGAAAATATTAAAAAACTAATATAATTAATATGTATATGTATTATACTTTACAAAGTATTTCCATATATATTATGTTGTTTTATTCTGATGGATAAGGCAGGTATTGATGACATCTATTAATCCTAACCTTACCTTATTTTGAGGATTAAAGGCATTGGTAAGTGTACATGCTTGTAGTATGCTGAATGATGGACCCCCAAAAGATATGTGCATCTGTGAATCTGACCTTATTTGGAAAAGAGATTTTTGCACATGCAATTAAGGATTGCAAAATAAAGCAGTCATCATGGATCATACTCATGATCTGAAATGCAATTATAAATGTCCTTAGAAGAGGAAGGCAATGTGACCTCCACATTGATGTATCCAGAAGTCAAGAATATTGACAGCCAGCAGAAGCAGGAGGTAGGAAAGATTCTGCCCTGGAGCCTCCAGAGGGGTTGCAGCCCTGTGTACACCTTGATTTTGGATGTCAGGCCTTCAGAGCCAAGAGAGAATGAATTTTTGTCATTTTAAGCCACTAGTTTGTGGTTCTGTTCTAGCAGCTATGAGAAATTAATAAACTGCACCTGAGTGTCCAGTCTACAGAGACTGCTCATCAGCAGTTAACCATCATTGTCAACCACTTTATCCTGTTTTTAGACCAAAATTGAGCAGTGCCACATCAAGCCCACCTTTTAGAAGGTGAATGTCCTAGCAGTGGAAGATGGAGTAGCACACAGAGGCTCTCAGAGACCCCACACTGGAGGGGAAGAGTCAGACCTGCCCATGGAAAGGAAAACTTGATGGCCAAATCAAAGAAATCTGGTGATCACATTGAAATATCAAAGCAGCTGCCTCTGCTTCTGATTTCAGAAGCTGGGACCCTCCTCCTAACTGGTCTCTCAAAGCCTGGAAGGTTTGAGAAGGAAAGGAGTATAATTTTGCACATGTTGAATTAGAGGCCTTTCTGTGACATCCGAATGGAACAGTCTAGCAGAAAGCTGGATAGTTTGGTCTGGAAATTGGAAGAAAGATCTAAGTTAGAGACAGAATAGAGTCACAGGCACCTTTATGAAGCACTTAAAAATGTATGGCAGCATATGGCCACTCGTGGAGGATGCAAATTCGCAAGGAAAGTCTTGGAAGACTCTGGCATTTCCCAGCCAAGGACAGGGAGAGGAGACAATGAAAGAAACCAAGACAGCATAGCTAGAAAAGGAAGAGGAAATTAAAAGGAGACCCCTCAGGAATCCTAGGAAAGCATTTCTCTCTCCTCTCTGCTTACCTTGACATTATATGGAAACTGAGTATATTTGATATTTTTGTGCTAATTAAGTATTTCCTCTTTCTATTCTTCATTTACAAAGAATGAATTGAAATGAAAGTACACATTTCACTCACTCTCACGGGAGCACAATTCTAGGGAATTTGCAGTGGAACAATTCCTCCCTGCTCTGGAGCCAGCGTGCAGCCACAATTACCCAGCTAGACAGCAGCCACAGGCCATTATTGCCAAGGGAAAGGCCACGGTGTAGCTGACTACACAGTAATCATGCCACTAGCGTCACAGCTAGAGCGGCTCTCCCCCCGCAGACACGAAAAGCTGAGCTGGTAACCTGCTGCATCTGGGAGCAAAAACGAGGATGCAGAGTTCCCCATCTTTACAGACAGAGTCTCTTTGAAAGAGAAATGGTCCTACTCAGAAGGTGCGGCTGAAGACCTTAGCTCCATCTGTAACCACCTAGCTCCCCCAAACCGCAAACCCTATTTCTTGGCTGTTTCCCAGACCCTCCATGGGGGCGGGGCTCAAGCCCATCTTGTTCTCTTCTGAGAGTCCCAGTCTCGCTGCTCCTTCTTTGCTTTTGACCCTAGGGTCCCTTCCTAGGCAGGCATGTCCTGGGTGTTTTAGAAAGAAGTACCGGCAGGTCAAAGAGGAGGTTGAGCAGCAAGTATGAAGGGCTGGAGAGGGACAAGGTCATGAACTTGGTCATTCTCCCCGACTCCCCAGCCGTCCCTAGTCCCTCAGTGGGGCCCATCCCCAAGAGGGAGACAACACCCTTAAAGATCGAAGGCCCTTGGCTGGACGCTACCCCTTCGCCAGGAAAGACCCCAACCCTGTCTGCAGACAGGCAGGGTAGACAATCTTACTTGGCTGGAGCTTGTGGTCGTTTAAAGAGGGGCACGAAGCCCTGAACTCAGGCTGGGCCATCCTGCCGAGGAGGCAGTGGAGCCGGGCTGAGGCTCCAGCCCTACTGGGCTCTGCAGGCGGCACGCGGCTGCTTTGTGACGCGTCGCCATGGAGACGCAGGTCTGGTACTGGGTAACTTAAGTCGGGAGACCCAGATGGCTAGACCAGGCCCGCGCAAAGATGCGATGCAGAAAGCTAATCCTTGCCTCTTCTCCTGTGGATACCTTACTTCCGTATATTTGTATAGATCTTGCAATGAGCTCTCCCAATTCTTGTGTTGTATATTTGGGGACAGAAAACAAAAAAAGGGGGAAGAAATTAAACAGAAAGTAATGTCAGACTTTTTTTTTTTTGGGGGGGGGGCACTTGACAACTGAGCCACATTCCCCAGCCCTATTTCATATTTTATTTAGAGTCAGGGTCTCACTGAGTTGCTTAACACCTCCCTTTTGCTGAGGCCGGCTTTGAATTTGCCATCCTCCTGCCTCAGCCTCTCCAACTTCTGGAATGTCAGTCTTTCAACTGATAATTTTCATCTATTCATAGATTTCAGTTTAAGCAAATGGGGGGAAAGTTGTCATGGATCTCACTAAATCACCAGTGGGGCCTGAGAAGCATCGATTCTGTGATGTTCCATGCTATTCAAGGGGTCATCCTGGGTATCTGTCAGTTTCAGGTTACTACAAGGAAACGGCTGACTAAGGCTACCTATGAAGAGAGGTATATTTTGGCTCATGGTTTTGGAGGTTTCAAAGGCCTAGAACAGGCTGGGCAAGGGTGCCCCTTTACTGCATCTCCTTATTGCTGGGAAAGCCAATGGCAGCAGTGGATGTCAGAACCAGCAATCCTGTGTCCAGCCAGGAAACAGAGGAAGAGACAGCGGTCCTACAGTGCCTCTGGGGAACAGATCACCCAAAGACCTAAGGACCTCCCACTAGATCCCACCTCCTGAAAGTCCCAAGAGCACCACCATGGAGACCAGGAAACTGGGGATGGGGGACACTATTCAGAGCCAAACCATAGCATCCCAGCTCACAAATCAGGGGAGAAAGCAGCAAGTGAAAAATGTGCTTAGAGACCAAGGGGAGGGGACCTATGTGTCCCAGATCTCCTTAGCAGGACATGAGATCCTGGCACCCATCATAGTGCTTTGTGACTATCAATTTAGTTGTTCTTCCTCCACATCCCCCATCGACTGAGTGGTGCCTTCCACTCCCATGTGTGTTAGGGATGCTTAACTGGATGAAGAAATTCCTTTATTTTCATATTCTTGGCAACTCCCTGGTAATCTGACACGTAGTCGGTGCTGAAGAACTATTGAAAAGCTCCAGGTTAGAACAGAGCCACCACTCACTCCTGTGAGGAGACGAAGGAACACACTGGGACCGCTGGCAACAGTTTAGGAAGGAATCAACAACAGCCCCGCATCCTAAGAGGGGCTATCCTAGGCCTTAGTAAAGAGGGAGATGTAACAAGGGAGTTTATTAAAGGAGACAGAATAGACATCCAACCAAAGACCCCAAACATATATGCAAGGAACATCTCTAAAGTGAAGAGCTAAACTAGAATTTTCTGAGGGTAGAGACCCATCCACACTGCAAATGAATATAATAAATCTTAGACTCTCCGAGCAATGAATGGTGAAACTCAGTAGAAGGCAGACTTCTGTCAATGTTATTTAAAGGAACATGTCTAAATTAAGATTTAGTAGTGGCATCTAAATTAAAGAAAGTCGCACCCAATAACAGATTAACTGTCTGGAAATGGTAGAGCTAATTAGCATAGCATAATTTAAGAGAAATGTGTTTTTAAAATAGAGCAGTTAGTATATAGAATTTTAAAAGTGAATTCTTATTAATATCTTACATTTGTTTCTTCTTGGACTAGCTGAAATGGTGGGGTATGCACTGAACCGAGGGAGATGCAAAAGAACCGTCATATTCCCTCTTCGACCCCTTAGGGTAAGGCAGGTACCTCTGTGAGCCTCAGTTTCCTTGTTGTACAATGAATGTACTAGCACCACCGTGCTGAGCTGTCAAGATACCGATCCTTACTGTAATCTGTCAATAGGAGACCACGCAAATCGAAGGTGTTGTTCTTTTGTCTGATTACTATTCTGATCCTTTTTTTTTCTTTTTATAGTCTCCCATTTCTGCTTCAAAATGTGGTTTCAGTGAGGGTCTGCATTATTGTGAGTAGTATGGCACTGTTTCCGCCTTTGAATTTTGATCACCCGAGGCAATCCCTTTTCATGATTGAGTGCAGGGTTTTGGTTTTTTTTTTTTTTCTTTTTATTTCTTCTTTCCTTCAACTAATGCTGACTGTGCACTGAAAATGAGCTGTCTGGGGACATTAAGGGCAAAGCCCTGGATATGATAAGAGCCTGGGGATAACTTCCTGCAAGAAAAGATGCTTGAGCTGAGTCCTCGAGGATGTGTAGGGTTGACCAGGTGAAGAGGGAGAGGTGATATGGGTAGAGCCTGTAATAGCCTGCGGAACCCAAAGTAAAGTTTGATGTTACCATGTTGAGAAGATCGAGGGGGAAACTGAGAAGAGGCTAGAGGGGAAGAAGGCCCTGCAGGTCACACTGAGAAGCTGGGACTTCACCTGAGCAGGTGGAGGATTCATTGAGTGGGTTGAACAGCAGAGTGAACAGGCCTGGTCGCAAGTTTGAATAAATTCTGACATTTTTCCCAGGGCAAGGAGCAGCAAAGTTCCATATCATCCTGCCAAAATAAGTTAATCATCCAGAAATCAAAACATCTACGTTACAAATATGCCTTGTACAAGCTTCTCATTGATCCAAAACAATTGAGAATAGTTTTATCGAATGGGTTAAAAGTTAACTGGTTGTTTCCAACTAAAGTTATGACAATAAATTTAGTTCTGCACACACACACACACACACACAGAGAGAGAACATGATGTGAACTGCTAAAGACAAGGATGGGGGGCAAGGCTGAGGAGATAGCAAGCATAGAATACTCAAATTCTGGCTGTCGAAGAGAAGAAAGCCTACAACAGGTGGAGAGAAAAATAAATATGTAGGAAGCAGAATTACTTAAAACAGAAAGAAGTAAACAAGTTCACAGACCAAGAGTAAGGAGTAGGGAAAGAGAACTTGAAGCTTCAGGAAAGACTAGAGGGGCCCAGGTATACTCTAGAGCTACCTCCTGCACCTGACCACCTCACACCTGGGCATCTGTGAGAACATGGACTCTGTCCAGTGGGGCCTGAGCTTCTGCATTTCTACCAAAACTCTTAGGTGACTCACAAAGTTAGAGAGAGACAGACTTAGAGCCAAGTAGAACCATAACAACAAGTTAAAGCCTTGTGAGGGCAGCCTCAGCCTCACCTGGGAATCTTTTATAAATGCAGAAGCTGAGGCCCCACCTAGAGGGGTTGAATCCAGATCTGCACTGTCACATGACCTGCAGAAGATTCCTTGGCACAGTTTGAGAAGCATTGCTCTAGATAATACAGGAGGCTGGCTAGGTCATCTCCTGAATGAAAGGGAGACTAGAAAATAGTTGAAGGGAGAATTAGTAGAACAAGCTAATGAAGGATGTGTAAACAAAAATCAACAGGTGCCTATTTCCAAAAGCCCAGAAGGTGATGTCCAGCTCTCTTGTGTACAAAGAAACTCAGTGAAGTTTCTCTGCCTCAATTTTTATATTTGGGCAAAAGAACTCTCTCTCTCTCTCTCTCTCTCTCTCTCTCTCTCTCTCTCTCTGTATCAGAGGTTGAATTCAGAGGTGCTTAACCATTGAGCCACATCCCCAGTCCTTTTCACTTTTCATTTTTTATTTTAAGAGAGGGTCCCACTAAGATGCTGAGGCTGGCTTTGAATTTAGGATTCTCCTGCCTTGGCCTTCCAAGCTGCTGGGATTTCAGGTATGTGCCACCATGCCTGACTATGCAAAAGACTTTCTACAGCTATGTAATATGCAATGTTTCCTTCAAGTGTCCTCATGTTAAAAAAAATGGAATATTTCTTATTCTCTCTCTCATTGATGAACTCAAAACATATTCTCAATTTCATTGAAGGACTATGTTAGGATTCTCCAGAAAAACAGAATCAATATGGAGTATCTACCAACCTATTGAGAGATTTGTTTTAAGGAGTTAGATCACACAATTGTGGGGGTTGACAAGTCCAAAATCCATAAGATAGACCAACAGGCTGGAGACACCTGGAAGAGCTAAAGTTGCATCTCAAATCCAAAGGCAGAATTCCCTTTTGCCTAGGGGAGGGGCAGATTTTTGTTCTGTTCCAGCCTTCAGCTGATTGGATGCCTCCCACAGAAGAGAGGGAAGAGTGCTTTACTCAAAACCCACCAGTTTAAATGTTAATCAATCTCATCCAAAAACACCTCCATAGAAATATCCAGAATAATGATTGACCAAATATCTGGGCACTGTAGCCCAGCCAAGTTAACATAAAAAATTAACCATCACCGATTCAGATGTTCTTGGTGTCATCCAGATCATAGCTGCCACAAAGAGGGGTTGTGGATAAGTAGTCCCAGGATAATTACTATGATCTTATTGAAAAATCCAGAAAATTCTATGATATCTTCTATTTTATTAATGCAGTCTAGTATAATGGGGATACATTCTAAAATCTGCTTGTAACTTGCAATTCACCAAATTTATTTCTGTTTCATCCAAATAAAACCATAACATCAAGTTAAGACTATTAAATCTATCAAAATCTTATCAGTCCCCTTTAACTGTGACCTCCTTCCTGGTCCATGTGGTCCCCCTGGTTCTTATGGTTTTCTCTTCTCTGAACTCTTAAGGAGGAAGCTGGCTGGGCCAGCCATTGGGTTATTATCAATGGCTTCTATTGTTAGTTCTCCTTTCAGGTCTATGCAAGTAGTGAACATCAGCCTACTCAAGTGCTGACACTTGTTTTAAATCTGTTCTACCAACGAATGTATATATTCGTTCATGCACATGAATGTTCTCTTCTTCAAAGCAATTTATTTTAATGATGCTTCCATTGCTTGAAGCATTTT